CGCCCATGAACAAGACCAACAGCTGTTCTGTCTCCTAATGCTCGCAAGAAAAAGATTATCAAGAACGGAAAGGGTTGAGTTGCTTCTCAACGCCAATGTTGAAGCAAAGTGAAGATGTGTAAAGCTCTTTGAAGGCACGCAAAGACGATTTTGGTACATAGCGAAACTTCCCCTAATCTGCTCCAAAATCAGCATCCTCTGCAGTGATGAAGGAAAAAGGACAATGATTACAGACAAAGGGGAGAATGATCAAAGGACAATGAACTGTTGCATGTGTGCAAATAATCTCTTTAATGCTTTGACAGTGGTTTTGAGTTCCTGAAGTTCAGTTGTGTGATCTGTGTAAAGAGCTACTGCAAAATTCAATCATGTATGTGTCAAAACGTTGACATTGCAATATTGTAATGCCGTAGCATTAATGTTTTTCTACCATAATTTAAAATTTGACTGTATGACATTCTTTGGCTTACAAATCATTGCACCAAGTATTGAAGTCACCGTGTCCATTTTTCAAAATGTTTGGCGCTGTGCACATGCACTTTTATTCTGTCAAAAACTCATATGATGCACTGGTGTCTTTTTCTTTTCTTTGTAACTCAATTTCTTTGGAGGATTTTGTACATTTTTGATTTGCTGTAACATGTAAATGAAAAATAAAATAAAAAGGAAACTAATGGCACCTCAAAGGTAAGCAATTATCTTGATACACTCTAAAAAATGCTGGGTTGTTTCAACCCAACATTGGGTCAAATATGGACTAACCCAACTGTTGGGTTACATTTTTTAATTAAAGTTTTAACCCAAAAGTTGGGTTAGTCAATATTTGACCCAACGTTGGGTTGAAACAACCCAGCATTTTTTAGAGTGTACAATTAATATATATGTAATGGCTTCAAATAGTTCAGAAAAGACTTAAAAGTAGTGCTGTCAAACAAATAATCATGATTAATCGCATCCAAAATAAAGGTTTTTGTTTACATAATATGTGTGTGTGTCCTGCGTATATCTATAATTAATTTTAATTTATCTATCCATCTATCTATCTATATATATATATATTAGGTAAATATAAATACAAACACAAGCATTTATATACTTAAGAAAAAAATATGTTATGTTTATATATTAAATATATTTATATGAATATAAATATATACATGTAAATACATAAATATTTTCAAAACATATACTGCATGTGTGTGTATTTATATATACATAATAAATATACACAGAACACACAAATATATTAAATAAACAAAAATGTTTATTTTGGATGCGATTAATCGTTTGACAGCACTACTTAAAAGACTTCAAACCAATGAAATAACAAATATTGTAGTACGGGGGGCGGTACCTCTTCAAAAAGTACAAATATGTACATTTTAGGTGGGCACCTTTAAGGCACCATGCACCCTTTACAGGTAAATGTGTACCTTTTGAAAGAATACTAATCTATTTAAAATAAATAATAGTTAAATATTACCTATATAAATGCATTCATATATTTTATATTTGTCTAATCATTTCCAAATAGCTAATTAGAAGCTTTTAAGATCATGAGAAATAAATCCAGTCCACTCAAATTGTGTCCAGATCTCAATTATCAAATTGTATCAGTCCTAAAATCAAGGAGCAATCAAAAATCAAGTGGCTGCCACAGCTCAAATTGCATGATCGCATGTATATGCAGTGAGGATCCAACAGGAATTGTCAAATATTGCCATCTTGTGGCACATCGGCTGACTTGAAGCTTCTCACTTCACATTGCTATAATGTGCAGGGAATACAGTGACAAAGCAACGGGGAAATGTGTGTCATGTATAACAAAGGCTCATTGTTCCTTATACACACAACAGGATGTCAACTAGTTCCTAAAACAGTCACTGTTAATGACCTATTGACTGTAAAATGTAGGACCGATTGTATGCATGTTGCCTGTGCAGCATATAACTGCAACAGGATCATGCAACTTTGCCATGAAATATCTGCTGCATAACAGCACTGAAAGAAACATCTGGGTTACCACATTAAGTATTCTCTATAATAATGGCCATAAAATATAAACCGAGAGTGTTTTAATTGTTAAGACTATACTGCCTGAGAGAAAAGCTGTACGTTCGTCTGGTTGTTCTGGTGCTCAGTGTAGCGCCAGCCGGAGGACAACAGCTGAAAGAGAAAGTGGGCTGAGTGTCTAGGGCAGGGGTGCCCAAACTCGGTCCTGGAGGGCCGGTGTCCTGCAGAGTTTAGCTCCAACTTGCCTCAACACACCTGCTGGGAAGTTTCTAACATACCTACTAAAAGCTTGATTAGCTGATTCAGGCGTGTTTAATTAGGGTTGGAGCTAAACTCTGCAGGACACTGGCCCTCCAGGACCGAGTTTGGGCACCCCTGGTCTAGGGTCTAAAGTAATTTCTCAGCCCTTTTTCTCACTCTGGAGGTGTAAAGATCTTGGAGTTTGGGCAGGGAGGCACGGATCCCGACTGTCTGTCCGTAGTAGTCTTCTGATGTCGGATTTGGTGGCTGAGCCAAACCAGAGTGTTATTGAAGCGCACAGGACAGATTCAATAACAGTCGAGCAGAACTGTGTGAGCAGGTTGAACTTCCTTAACTGCTGTAGGAAGAATAACTTTTGTTGGCCCTTTCGGATTCGAATATATATTTTCAAACCAGAGGGATGTAGATGAGTTTGTTTCTTTATCGGAACAGATTTGGAGAAACGTAGCATTACATCACTTGCTTCCCAATGGATCCTCCGCAGTGAATGGGTGCCGTCAGAATGAGAGTCCAAACAACATCACAATAATCCACACAACTCCAAAGCTGCACGTGTATGATAAGCAAATCCATTTTTTTTTCCTTCCCAGACCATTGCTTACAGCAAAAATACTATAGTCTCTAATCCATAATATTGCTTTCGCCATGCAGTGAAAAAGTCTTCTTGTCTGAATCAGGAGAGAAATATTCACAGATCAAGCACCGTTTATAAGCAAAAACAGTCCAAAACTGTTCTAAACAAATAGGTTGGTTTATTTTGATGCGAGAGGACAACAGTGGATGGACTTTTTCACATATCGACGCTTTGTGATGGACTATTATATTTTTGCCAGCAGCGACTGTTTAAATGTTAAGTTAAAATGCCTTAATGATGGATTTGTTTTTTTTTTACAAACACATAGCTCTCTGCTTCACAAGGCTATAACTGATGGACTGGAGTGGTGTGGATTACTTGTGGATTATTGTGATGTTTTTATCAGCTGTTTGGACTCTCATTCTGACGGCACCCATTCACTGCAGAGAATCCATTGGTGAGCAAGTGATGTAATGCTATATTTCTCAAAATCTGTTCCAATGAAGAAACAAACTCATCTATATCTTGGATGGAAATTTTTTTAGCAACTTTTTATTTTTGGGAGAACCATTCCTTTAAGACTTGTTTTAATCGACTTTCTTGAATTGCAGTTTAATTTGTATTTATTTATTTTTTCCTAAACTTAAATTTAATTTCACTTTGTACACTTTCACGTATCTAAAACAAGTGAACTATGCCAATGCAGTAAGCGAAAATGCAATGGTGAAAAAATATTTTAATTGTGGTATTTCATTGTTTCGGACACACAGAAAGCTACTGCAATATTTCACAGAAGACTTGTAATATAAAGCACAAGTCATATGAACTACTGTTATTTTGATAAAGGTAATTTACTTTGCCCTTTTTTTTTATGGATCATTTCGAAATGAATCATGCATCTTGATTGCACTGAGACAAGTAATCCGACATTGTACCCGACATCTCTTTTTGAGTTCCACAGCCGAAAGTCAGTCATGCAGGTTTGAAACAACTTTTCTATGTAATAAAGTTTCACTAAATGTCTATGCACTAAAATACAGTTAGCCATTTATACACACAAACCGTGAATATTTCCCCTTTCGTACGAACAGTAGATAGGAGGTGTATTGTTTCCTGAGGCCAAAAGCGGGAAGTGACCTCTAAATGCTGCATGTCTAGTTCCTCTTTGAGTCTGGTTTAAACACACAGCTGTCTGTTCATCAGCTCTGACCCACAGCCATCCTCACACAGATAAGTGCTGCTCTCTCAACACAGCTTTGTTTCATAGATAACAGAGGTTTAGCTCTGCTACAGCTGGAGAACAACTGGAGGTATGGGTTTTTATCTTTACTACATGTTTGCACAACTTTCATTGTTCTTTTGCGATGTTAAGATCCTTGACAAAGCTATATATCTGACCGTCAATATTTCATTCTGTCATCATTTGCTCACTCTCATGTCATGACTTTCTGTTTTCCGTAGAGCATAATGAGATGTTGGTGCAATGCTGGTAGCCAAATAATGTTGATGGCCATTGAATTCCACTGCAGAAACAAAACGAAAAATTCTCAAATATATATTGCATGCTTCACACAGAAAAAAAAAAGAAAGGGAAAGTAAAAGACATTTTCATTTTCGGTTGAACATGTCTGGGTGGCGTTTCACTGCCTGTAAAACCATTAAGATGTTTCAAATTAATCAAAATGAAACGAAATACAATTAATTTATGTATACATCATGGTAGTATTAATGCTGAATAAAAACAAATACTGTACTAATATTGATATCGTCATTCTCACTAGAAAATCTAATTTTAAAAAAAGTGCAGATGCATTATGGTAATGAGTTGTCAAAAATATGTCGTCACAATGCTAAATATTTTAATTATCTTAAAAAATGCAATTTTCTTTATGCAAAAAAAAAAAAAAAATGTATTGTGTCCAGGATACGTTTTCGTGAGTTTTGTTTGAGTCCCTTGACTTGGTCTAAGCTCCTTAGTGTCATATAAACAAACCTGAGGAGTTTAGAGCAAGTAAAGGGTCTTTCACCAACTCATCCTCTAAAACTGAAGACCACTGATGACATCCTGATGGAGACTTTCAAATGCATAACGTCCCCTTGTATTTTTCTCAATAAAGATACACCCGAGCAGCATGAAGCAAATCACTTGTGTTTATTTACAAAAATAAGATTGCAAAGCAACAGCAGATACAATACACTGTAGCAAAACTGTATGTCCTCCGTAAGGTTGGCCCATATTTGCACTACTGCAAAAATATAGCTAAAACAGCTCTGAAAAAGGTTGCCATAGCAACCACTCGCTCGCTCTCAGAGTGAGGCACTGGGAAACGGCTAGTCGGTGTACAATTGAGGAACACAGAGAAGTGGAAGGTGATGTTAAAAGAAAGAAGTGTAGCTGTGCTTCAAATGAACATTGAGCGGCGGCTCGACGGCAGAGACAAATGCACACAGAGGAAGTACTGGGACGTGCGGGGGCAGAGCTGGTGCATGTTTTCTCCATCCGTCAGTGATCCCGATCTACCTGACACACAAAACTCATGCATTGTGGTTATCAGCTTACAAGTCGGTTTTACAATCCTGCTCCAACCTCCTCTAAGATTTAATCAGGAAGCGAAAGCTAAATGGTTTTATCTGATTGGGTGGATGTCACTGCTAACAAGGCAAGTGATCACAGTGTACTGCATTTAGTTAATGCAGTATATAACTGGCCTAGTAATGCTAGTATGGTTCATTTAAGATAAAACCTAAAGTCTTATCTTCTACACCAGGCAATACAGATCTTAACATTAGCAAACAAATGCAACACACTGAAACTGAGGAACATGCCATTTTTGCTCCCGTAGTTTTGGTATGTAGGAGTACAGATGCACTTTACGAGACGTATTCACAGTACTTGGTTCATTTAGAGCTCATTTGTTTGTCGTTTGGAGTAAACTTTTATTACACAAATCAAGCAACCAAAACCACTCGGAAACCAGCATTTTCTGTAACGTTCCATATTTGGGTTCCTTAAAATGGTGCACCATAGATATTACGAGTTTGAGAATGGTCCACGCGAACATTTTGATTCAATATTTACCGTATTCACACTCCAATCCTGCATGACTTTGACTCTCGCATGGAAGAAAAACAGGAATATTTGAAAGAACATGCTGGAAACTCTTATAACATTAGCGGAAAAAAAAGGATGGTTTGCTTTTTGTGCTTTTTCCACAGACAAAAAGTCATACACGTTTAGAACCTGAAAAGAGTAAATATAAAAGACTAGCCATTTCATTTTGAAGGAACTATGGTACAAGGAAACCAAAATAAACCAGAAATACTGGTAAGCAGTGAAATCATAACAGTAGAAAGGTAACACTATAAAGTTCCATAGTTAACTGCATTACTCAACTAACAATAAAAAAAAAAATACTTCTAATACCTTAACTCTTTCCCCACCAAACACAGAATTTTCCGGGTTTTCACGTTCTCACTGTTATACACTGGGGGCGCTATTACGCATCTCCTGATTGAGTCCAGAATCTCCTGATCAAATATACAGGTGAGGAAGCAGCAGAAACTAGTGATTAGAGATGGGCGATATGGGCTTCAAAATATATCACGATATTTCTGGTATTTATTGCGATAACGATACCAATGACGATAATTCAGGGAATCCGGTTTCTTTAGAGAAAAGTATTATCTCTCCTATTTTTACCCAAAATAGGGTGTTGTCAGCATTAATAAGTACACACGTAATGTAAAGACGGTTTAATTCATACTGGAAGCCGGAGCGAGCTCTTGCACAGAAACGCCACATATCCATATCAGAAGTAATACTACTGACAACGCTCCAGGAAGGTTTCCAGTTATCGCTGAATAAAACGCACAATGGAGATAGAGACATATTAAAACTTAAGGAAAATAAACATACGATTGCACAAAATATATGGTTTATCGGTGTTCTTCAATCTTGGGTATTTTTATAAGGAAAGTATATTTATAATGCAATGTTAATCGACATGGCCTTTATCACCGTATATAATACTATCATTCTGTAATATGAAACCACGTCTGGTCACAAAAAGAAGTTATTTCAAACACTCGACTATGTTATTAAGTTAATTTGGAGAAAAAGCATGTCAATAAATGATGTCTTTGTTGGACAACAGGTTTCTAAACGGGCTCATACACATGCAAAACTGTATCGCACACGTGCTACTGTAGTACATTTATTTAGACCGATTTTTTGTGCACTGTAAAGCCCAAACCAGTTACAGATCGTAAAAGGAGCTCGAGCTCCTCATTTAAGCGATATAGGCTACTCCTCAATTTCACGGCCGCCTTCCGCGATGTCGCACAAAGAAATATGTCAACTACTAGACTCTATCGTTATCGCGGGAAGACTAATTATTATCGTGGGGAGAATTTTTACATGTATATCGTAAACGATAAGATATCGCCCATCCCTACTAGTGATCTTATATGTAAGCATATGCATGTGATCATCAAATAATCGTAAAAGGAGCTCGAGCTCCTCATTTAAGCGATATAGGCTACTCCTCAATTTCACGGCCGCCTTCCGCGATGTCGCACAAAGAAATATGTCAACTACTAGACTCTATCGTTATCGCGGGAAGACTAATTATTATCGTGGGGAGAATTTTTACATGTATATCGCAAACGATAAGATATCGCCCATCCCTACTAGTGATCTTATATGTAAGCATATGCATGTGATCATCAAATAATGTGATCATCAACATTACAGCATGAAATGTCGATCCAGGAAGTGGTAAAGGACTGTGAAGCTTTAGGGGTGCTGATGGAAGCCATCTACTGCATGTATGCTTCGATCATCAAACTGAATATGATCCAGATGTAGTACTTGGTAAAAATACAATTTTATAAGCTTTTTGCAAATGTTGCTTTTTTATGACACTTACCTACATTCAAGAGTTAATTTAAAAAAAAGAATGCTTGAAGCTAGAATGTTTAAAAGTAGAGGCTCTGTTCTTTATTTTTATGCATTGCATGTACAGATATTCATACAGCTAAATATTCTGTGGATCATGAAATTTTTGTGAAAATGATCAAAAATGTTGGCGGTGGCTGGCAACCATTTTTCAAAAATTCTGGCGGGGAAAGAGTTAATCATAGCTCATGTTAATTTCAACATTTACTAATATGTGACCCTGGACCACAAAATCAGTCTTAAGTAAAATCTTAATCTTTAATAAGCTTTCCATTGATGTATGGTTTGTTAGGATAGGACAATATTTGGCCGAGATACAGTTATTTGAAAATCTGGAATCTGAGGGTGCAAAAAAAAAAAAAAATCTAAATATTGAGAAAAGTTGTCCAAATGAAGTCCTTAGCAATGCATATTACTAATCAAAAATTAAGTTTTGATATATTTACGGTAGGAAATTTACTAAATATCTTCATGGAACATGATCTTTATTTAATATCCTAATGATTTTTGGCAATAAAGGAAAATCCATCATTTTGACCCATACATTGTATTTTTGGCTATTGCTACAAATATACCCCAGCGACTTTAAGACTGGTTTTGTGGTCCAGGGTCACATATATTATTAAAATAAAAAGTTGCATATGTTCAAACTGAGCTAATATGAACTAACAATGAACCAACCGTATTTTGATTTGCTAATGTTAAAAAGATTAATAAATACTGCGACAAATGAATTGCTCATTGCTAGTTAATGCATTAACTAATGTTAACCAATGGGACCTTATTGTAAAGTTTTACCAGTAAATCTAAAACTGCTGATTTTCACTTAAAGGTTAAAAAAAAAAAGTGAAAAGGTAAGTGAACACTTGCATAAATTATGTTCTTTGCATGATTTCATATCTATGTTCATATCGGCACACTGGCAAATGTTTGAGTAAATCTTTTATTTTTGACTTCAACTATATAATTTGGCAATGGACGTTTACTTTAATTGTTTTGCCGAGTAAAATAGGTTTATTTGGGAAATGAAGGAGATTGCAGTGTTTGTTCGGCTGGGAATGGGGAACTGCATTGGCACACCTCTCAATTGTGTAAGAGGGGAAATATTTCCCTAAACTCTACACCTCACCATCTGTTTGTTGGCTAGTCGTCTACTGTGATATTGCGGAACAGGTAGGCCATGGACTCCCCGTTGTGAATGCGTCGGATAGCCTCGGCCAGGATCATACTGACATCCACTGTCTTGATCTTAGGACACTGCAGCTTTTGCACTTCATGAGGGACAGTGTTGGTCACCACCACCTGAAAGACCATAAAAACATCCCAAACATTTGGTCATGCTACATAATTTTATACACTAATTCACATCAATATTTACATGCAAATACATGCTACTTAAACAGCGGATGGACTTCTAGCTCATTCTCAGGAAATAATGCCACTTGTCTATTAAAAAACCTTCATGAATTTCTTTTTATTCCATTTGAAAGACTTTTTTGAAGAATGACATGCCCAAAGTATCAGAGCAGTATTTGCCATACACACTGAGGGACCTCCATATGCCTCCCAAATGGTCAATAATATCTTTGAATGGCAGTTTAGAAATGTTTCCGCTTTCCTAAATACACGGTTATGGTTGGTTCCAGAAAATGCATGAAGCATGTAGACAGTAAAAGCATGTACAATTTTTATTTCAATAAAAGCTTTTCCTCTTTTTTTGGAGAATTGGAATGAGCCATTCACTTCTCAATGGACGTGCATTATAAACGAGCTGAAAGACTCACTTCGTCTATGGCGGACTCCTCGATGAGGCGCGGGGCGTCTGCAGACAAGAGGCCGTGGGTGGCCATGATGTAGATCTTATAAGCTCCTCTCTCTTTCAGAATCTCAGCTGTTGCCACAAAGTCCTCCACATCATCAATGATGTCATCCTACAGGACAGAAACAACATGTACTGCTCATCCCGCCAATCAAAAATTACTGTCACACTGATACCAAGTCCAAAAACACGCATTTCTTACGACAATGATGGCGATGCGGCCTCCAACATCTCCGACAACAGTGATGGGCGGTTTCTCCTTGGCCATCATTACTATAAAGACAAACATCAACTAGTTTTTCAAATCATTTCAGGAAATTGTTTGCAGACCAAGAGGCCAATCAATCACATTCCATCAGAGTAGATTGGGTAAGATGGGTTCAATTTATGCAATGGCCTAGAAATTTAGGAAATGGCCCAACCAACCCACATACACAAGTACTATTTAATCATTTGAAAAGTCCTGCATGGACCTAATTACACATAACGCTATCTTATTTGTTGGAGAACGCTTCCCATTTTACCCCACCTACAATTCAATCCAAATAGGAATGAAAAACTCATGCCATGCAGAAATCAAAATGATCATCTCTTGGTCCCCAATATACCCAATCATAGAGGCGAATATCTAGAGGTTTTACACTACGAGTCAGTGCAGGAAACTACACATCAATCAATCTGTCCTCGAGTCAACATGACCGACTCAAGGACATCGCTGTAATTCAGGAGTGGTCAAGAAGGGATAATGTCATTCATCCAGAGGAAGGGCACAGGAACACCGCCAAAACACACACACTCCGATCCAAGTAATCACGAGAGAGAGAGAGAGAGAGAGAGAGGGAGGAAGACTGGTGGGTCGATTTAAGAATACAAGGAGGTTAAAGGAGTTAAGCATGCCTTCAACACATGCCTTTCATCAAGAGTGGGACCCACAATGCTGTTCTATATTTATACCTTCAGTATTACAGATTAACGAGGCTTACAGACCATCTCTCCTAATCATATTCAATAGACCACTGATTTAAGGAGCCGTTGTTCTGTAAAACAGCATCTTTGAAAGGCATTGTTCACAGAGGACGGGTTCTTGACATAAAAAGCGCTACAGTAGACGGGTGCAAATGGAGTCATCAGCAACCATATGTTCAAAACAGTGTTTTTCTTAGGGCTGGGTGATTTGTACAGTTTTTATGACATTAATGAGAATGCAATGTTTCGCCACTATTGATTGATTCATTCACTCATTGAGGAATCAAGGCTTTGAATAAAAATTGGCAAAAATATTAGTTACAATTAAGCATGTAGAAAATGCACCAATGATAACAGTTAAAAAATAATAATAATCCGACCACATTGTTTTTACAAAAAATTCACTGTTAATAGTAGCCTACTACTGGCGTTACACTTTTAGTCAGCAAACAAAACGCAATTGTTTCAGCCAAAATAACTCGAAAAGGCAGAAACCATTGACCAAAAGTTACATTTTATAAACACTTTTGAGGACACGTTGACTCTCAGTAGGCGCGTTTCCATTACAGATTTGCGCAAAACTTTGGCGATATTTTATAAACGTCGATAAAATGTATTGCGAAATGACGGCGTTTCCATTAACCAATGTTATGAGACTTAAACATAACCTTTTGCCTCTCGCGATAAGTCATGGCAACGGATTTTGGTGGGATTTTGGCTATATTTATTTAAAAGAGGCTTATGTGTGCATCTTTACAGAAGCAGCAAAGAGAGCCGCTTCAGAAACGTGCGTGGCACGGCTGGAATAAACCATTGACTGTATAAAAACATAAACACAAGCATTGCGTGGCCGTAATCAGCTTCAGTGACCGTATCAGAGCCACACTGCACCGCAGACGTGTGCTGTGTAAATTGTCTAAGTATTAATAGTAGGGAAAGCCCCTTATACTGGAGCTCTTATGAAGTGTTTATTGGAGGTTATAGTACATTGAAGAATGATCATATGAATTTTAACATACGCCATGTGACCTGTAAATGTGAAAAAGCCGTTTCCATTGCAGTTTTGCGCATTATTCCTTTTTCGCATTGCCTGAAAAACCACCTCATGTGAGCGTAAAAACTTTTTTGCGATATATGGGCGTTTTTGAGAAATTGACGCGTTTCCATTAGGCCCATTTTCAACTTGCGCAATATGAAGGGTAATGGAACTAGCCTAATGTAGTGCACACAACGTGGACAAGTAAGCGTCAGTAGAGATTATCAAAAATGAGGGTAGAGTTGCAATATTTAACATTTGTTTGGCTAAAAATATCAAGTTTCCGAGGAACTTCACTACAACGGATTTAATTTTAATCTGACACTACTACACCCTGAACAGATTAAAAATAAATAAATAAATACATTTAAAAATTAATTACAAAAATTTTATTACCAAACTGTATCCATATTTAATTACCAAAACTTTATTTTTGGTTTTGGTTTTCAACTAAATGAAAAATTCAATGTTTTAGTAAAAAATCAATTAATTAAAACTACAATAATAATAATAATAATAAATTACAAATAACAATATAAATAATACATTTATTAAACAATAAATAAATAAATATTGAATAACTTAGTAATAAATATTAAACAAATAAATATTATGAATAATAATAATAATAAATATTTATTATTTATAAATACTTATTTTGGTGCGTCACTACAAAATGTGGTGCTCATGGCACTAGACAACGAATATATAAATGGCTGTATATAAGTTTTTTTTTTTAAATGATGGAATGCAAGATGACGTCCTATGTGAACGACCCCAACAAGTGCTGATAGCCAACGATAGTATTTGACAAAAAATATTTAAAAGTTTTCTAAACGCTTTTTTCCGTGTACTACCACAAGCTTCTGTGAACAAAAAGCATATGCTTTTTTTAAATTAACCCTGTATCTAAACCTCTATGAACTTTCACTGAACGCCTTCCTCTATTAATTTAAGGTCATGTGTTTCCAAGACGATGCAGGGGCCTTGGTTCCAAGCAGCTAAAAGACTACCATTTAAAACCTCTAGTCTAGGGATTTTTCAGAAGCAGGCATGGAGTGTTGATTGGCAAGATGAGCCTGGATCACAAATAAAAGGCATTTCTCTCAGACAGACATTCAATGGTTCCATTTCTGAACGATGGTAATTACATGGAATTTGAAAATAAGCACTTCATTTGAGGCTTCTTAGTTCTGTTCGACTGAAGCACTCTGAAGCTTAGACATCCATTTTTTACCATTATTTGGGAAAAAATTATTAGGCTGGCCGGTATATCGGTAGATACATTTATGCCATTAAGTGTGCTTTTATCGGCTATTTTACAATAGCTTCTAGTCATCAAATTTTAGAGTCACTATGTTTTTTTTTTTTTGGTTTTTTTATGTATAAGATGAAGCATCTTTAATTTGCAAAACAGTAAATTTGAGGATTGCGCAAAAATTGTCATTAGGACATTGTTATTAAAATACAAACTTTACATTGAAAATATTATATAGAAATGTGACTGATAGCATAATATAAAAAAAAAATACCTGTATTGTGATATTTTGGACATACCGACCACCCCTACTCTTTATAATAGTTTATAATTATATTATTAAAATAATATAATAATTTGAACTGCTCTTGTCATAACGGAGAAATAATTATAGAATAAATCTCTCTAACTGGGTTTACTCGTGGTAACCAAATTGCTTCAGAGTGCTGGATCACAGACACTGAGAGACCTCGGCCACTGCACACATGCAATAGGAACCATTTCAGCGTGTTCACTGCTGTGATCGGTAGCAAATAGAGTTAACCGTCATACTTGGGAGCTCTATGCCTGGGAACGGAGCTTGTTGTTTGCCTATTACCAATAAATAAACATCACGTTAAACAAAAATCCACACACAAATGATAGAACATACAGACATGAAACCAGGACTTCAACAATCCTTATCAAACCCTGACAAAAATGTATTTTACAACCTTTCGAATGAACTTTGCTCAGCTCCGTTGAATTGAATGCTTTGAAATTGGAGCAAATTGAGGGTCTTTTCAGGATTGTCAAAGTCCATACAAAAACCATAAATGTACATCGAGCTACTTGGAGTGAACTCCTCTCAGGCAATGTGTGAGTAGACAAAGGCCAAGACACTTATCACACAGGACCTGCTCTTACATTAAACACAATGTGATATTTAGCATTTTATGATCTTAATTCCCTTCTATACTGAGGTAACCGTGTGCTCAAGGTAAAACATACGTGAGAAGCTTAAAATCTAGAACAATTAACACATGGAATAGTGAAAAGAATAACTGTGTCTCAAAACCTAGATGATTGATTCATCTATTTCACTAATTGGTTGGTGTCTATCAAAACACACCAGAACTAAACTGTTCGTCATGGAATCCAATTCTTGTAACAGGAAATAACATGTTTTGTGCAGTTCTTTAAAGGGGTCATAGGATGCCCATTTTCCACAAGTTGATATGATTCTTTAGGGTCTTAATGAAAAGTCTGTAACACAGTTTGGTTAAAATTTCTCAATGGTAGTGTAAAAAACACATTTTTTACCCTGTCAAAAACAGCTCTTTTCAGATCAAGCCGTTTTTGTAGCATTTTCCTTTAAATGTTAATGAGCTCTGCTGGCCCCGCCCCTCTCTTCCGAGCTGCTCTCAGAGAGACTGTTTACTTTAGCCGCATTCATCGTGAAACTTGCTAATTAGCACATTATTAGGAAAGGCGATTTGCAAAGATTCATTACAAAACATACTCACTTCTTCTGTAGATGAGGCTGCATCATGAATGATTCGCGCGAACATAAACACATTTATGTAGATCGGGATCGGCGCATTCCCTTCAGAAACAATGTAATCCACTGCGAGTTCAGCGGCTCAGAAGTCGGGAGTAAACGACTGCTGTTCAGTATTACATCCAACAACAGAACACCTCAATCGCTTAGAAGTCATTCTTGTCTACATCTGCTCCAGCGGTGAAACAATGGCGGACTCAGAGCGGGTCTGAGGTAAGACGCCAGTCCAGTCTGTGCTGAAACGCTACTGTCAATCAAACTAT